TTATACAGCCCCAGTTCACAGCAAGAATGAAGCATCTGCTGTGATCACCATTAAAAATGTTAGGTTCACCTTCCGCTAAAAGACGTAAGAATTACGGCAGATGTTAATACAGAGCTAGACTCATAAAACTATAGTTATACAGAGAATACCTGGAGGTCCATATAGCAACAGCCCCTTCCATGGAGAAAGGATGCCCGTAAACAATTGTGGGTACTGCAGAAAGAAGAGGAAATATGAAATTTTTTTGAAAAGGTTAATATAGTTTGTGCCAAAGAGCCTTTCTTGCCAGCACTCAAGCATACAAGGTTCAGCCCTCCGACCCGATACCAGTTATTCCTCTATTCACATGCAGAACGCACGAATCATGGGGGGACTTCGCAATTTATCTGTATGCACAACCTACACAGGGAACGGAAGCACAAAACCACACAAAATGGTTAATTTCCAGCTGCACCAGAGCTTGTGACTAAGAGAGCAAGAAGGCAACCCTCATCTGAAAACATCCAAAGCAAGAGGGGGAAAAAAAAAATCAAATTCCCAATTTTACAGGCCTTAGAAATGTCTGAAAAAAGCTACCCTGTTTCCAAAAAAATAAGACCTAATCTGAAAATAAGCCCTAGTATGATTTTCAGGATGCTCATAATATAAGCCCTATCCCAAAAATAAGCCCTAGTTTAAGTTAAACCCCGCCCTCCACCATTGTTTAGCAACCAGAAGAAGACCTGCCCTCTACCCTTGTGCAGCAATCAGAAGATGATGACAGGACTGTATGTGAATAAATGTAGATTTGTTGTACATGGAAAAAATAAAATATCCCCAGAAAATAAGCCCTAATGCATTTTTGGAGCAAAAATTAATATAAGACCCTGTCTTATTTTCAGGGAAACACAGTAATTAAGGAGAATAGAGGAAACCTTTTTAGGGCTGATGAAATCCTTTGTCCATTTAGATCAGTACGGTCCTCTTAACCAGTAGCATCTCTCCAAAGTCTCAGGTGCAGAAATAATTCAATCATCAGAAGTGCGAAGGAAAATGAAATACAGAGCTGTTGCAGACCCACTAGAAGTACATGTTTGTCTAAGCTTCTAATCTTGCTCTTCAACTTTCATGGTAAAACTGGGGGTTGGAATCACACTAAGCACTTTAAAAATGCAGTAGTCAGATTGCTAAAAGGGGCTGGTCACAGGAATCACATAGCCTTCCTATTAGAGCAGTTTCACTGGCAGCTGATCCGGTCCTGGCAGAACCTATAAAGCTCTAAATGGCTTGCGCCCAAGTTATCTGAAGGAACATTATTTCTCTTTATGAGCCTGCGCAAGTGCTAAGATCATCGAGAGAGGCCTTTCTCTTGGTCCTGGCAGCTTCACAGGTGCGTTTGCCCAGAGACTCTGGAACTCCCTCCCACTGGAGACCAGCCTGGACCCACCTTTGCTGTCCTTCCGCAAGCAGGCAAGGACCTTTCTCTTCAGGCAAGTTTTCCCTTAATGACTGGCTGCATGAGTGGGCTTTTAAAAGGTTTGCTGCGCCTTACTGCTTTGTATGTGTCTTTGGTGTCACTTTGGTTTACAGTTTTTAGTGTGGTATTTGTTTGGTTCTTTTTAGTATGTGTTTGTTTGTTTGTTCGTTCATTCATTCATTCAGCTTCTATACCACCCATCTTTGATGCAAGTCACCTTGGATCTTTTTTAAGAAGAAAGGTGCTGTAAAGATTTAATTTAAGTAAAAAGAGACATAATGGATCTATAGTTGTGAAGGAGGCTAATTGTTCCTATAGTTGTACACATGGCATGGAATCAATCACTGCCTTAAGATCAATAAATGCTGTGTACAACACGCCTCCTTTCTTCTTTACATATTTATCTATGAGATGAGCTAATACAAAGCAGTGATCAAGAGTGGATCGCCCCTGACTGAATCCTGTTTGCTCTACTGCCATAATATTTTCCATCCTGGATCCAATCAATTAGTTTGTTACAGAGATGTTTAGCATAGAGCTTACTTATTACACACAATAAGCTGATTGGCCAATAGTTGGCAGAATCAGTTTTATCTCTTTTTTTGTATATGAGAACTATTACAGATGTACCCCAACTCTCGGAGAGTCATCCTGTTTGATCAATAAATGAAAATAAAACTGCTGGCAATTAGTAATATTGGATTTTGTATTTTCTGGGGAAAAGAGTCCATTCCTGATGCCTTGCTGTTTTTCAGTTGGTGGATGTTTACCGAAACTGGTGGCCAAAATTAGGCAGACTTTCCATTGCTACTGTTGTTTGGGTAGCCTGGAGATTAGAATCAAAGAATAATGCCTTATAGTGCTGCATCCATTCATGGGGCGGGGGTTATAATACACTTAGAGGCAGTGGAGTAAAGATATTTTAAAATAAATAAATAAGGTTTTGATTCCAGTTCACAAGAATGTGGTGTAAGCGCGACTTGGAAGAGGAGTGTATTTCAGTGGCAGAGGCCCGGATTTTCATGCAGAAACTCCCAGGCTGGGAAAGACCCTGTGGATGGTGACAGATTTGGGTTTAAGAGCGTGGAAAGAGGAAAGCGCAGCTTGACAGCCAGAACACAGCAGTGCCGGAATAAAAGTGTACTCTGGTAAGCAGACGGTGGTGGTGGGGGGGGGGGAATGAAATGCCAGTCAGCCTCAGACTGCTACTCCCCATTGTTGGGGCCGGCCCCAGCAATATTCCCTCCCCCTCTCT